ACAAGTAGGGCTATTCTATATTTCTAGTGACAAAATGAGGCACAAACTTGGGAATTGGAGTGTCCTCCTCGCTTCTGAACTGTGCCCCGCTGCTTGGCAGTTGTTAAAAGACCGCGTGGCTTTGGGAACACTAGAAGGCAGCCATCTTGGCAGGGATGATAGGTATTTTTGTGATGGGCACTATTAGTGGAGTGACAATGAGCCCTCCTCAAGCTGCTTCATTAGCAGAAGACTTGACAACAAGTAGGCAAGGCTGGAAGGGAAGTTTAGTTCATGTGCTATTTTGGATAAGCTGGCTCATGAGAAATGGGAGGTTGTTTTGGGGGACTCTGAACACTCAAGAGTCATAGCAATAAAGGTAAAGACTTGAGAGAGAGACAAATTGTATACGGAGAAAAATGGTCAAGAAGAAAACTTTAAATTCTCTGACTTCAGTGTCTATAGGGTACTAAGAGACAGAGAGAAGTAGAGGAGACAGAAAAAGCAGGAGACTAGGCTAGGGTGGTGACAGAGAATTTCTCGGGTGGCAATCCATGGTGTTCATATCTTAAAGAGACTGAGGAACATGAGAAACGAAGAAGCGCGTGAAAACAGTCATCATATCCATGATAACCTAGGGTGGCGGAGTCATTCATGTCATTTTTCTGAATTTTTGAGATTGGTGTTCTTAAATTCATAGTGTGCATTTCAAAATCATGCCCTAGGTTCCTTTCCAATCGTGCATGTGCTGACTCCAGCCAATACTCTCAAGGACGGCCTGCCTTTAAATAATTCAACAGTACTTAGGCCCGGCACAGTGGCTCACGCGGTAATTCCAGCACTGTGGGAGGCCGAGGTGGGTGGATCACTTAAGGTCAGAAGTTTGAGACCAGCCTGACCAAGCATGGTGAAACCCAGGGCGTCTCTCCTAAAAATACTAAAAGTAGCCGGGCATGGTGGTGCACCTGTAGTCCCAGCTACTCGGGAGGCTGAGGCACAAGAATTGCTTGAACCCGGGAGGTGGAGGTTGCAGTGAGCCGAGATCACATTACTGCACTCCAGCCTGGGCGACAGAGTGAAACTGTGTCTCAAAACATACACAAAAACAACAGCCAAAAACAGTATTTGTTGAGTAGTTTCATTTGCCTCCTTTTGATTTCAGGTCCTGCCTCTGCTGAGAGGCCAGTGGCATCACTCTCATTTCTCCCCAAGACCTTCCTTACCTTGTTAGGCAGAATTCCATGTTCTCAAAGAGTGTTTTCCAATCACGTCCCTTCCATTAAAACCTACCCATCCTGTGCCCCATCGGCTTTTAAACGAGCATTGATTCAGCATCTAAGGTGAATGATTTGAAGGTACATGTCCTAGGTCTGTCCCTAAAAAGGAGTTCACAGCAGTGAGTGGTATGGACATGTTCACAACTACCATAAAAGGCTAAGTAAATGTGCTCTGAGAGTAGAAAAACAGAAAAGGAGAGTTCAATTCCAAGAACAAACAATTTATTCTGTTAAAAGTTAGTCTGATAAACTTACTTGAGCTGCTAAACTTATTTGATGGCTGAAAAAGCCAAGGTGAGGATGACGTTTATATATATATATTTTTTCTGAGACGGAGTTTTGCTCTGTTACCCAGGCTGGAGTGCAGTGGCGCGATCTCGGCTCACTGCAAGCTCCGCCTCCCGGGTTCCCACCATTCTCCTGCCTCAGCCTCCCAGGCAGCTGGGACTACAGGCGCCGGCCACCACGCCCGGCTAATTTTTTTTGTATTTTCAGTAGAGAGATGGGGTTTCACCATGTTAGCCAGGATGGTCTCGATCTCCTGACCTCGTGATCCACCCGCCTTGGCCTCCCAAAGTGCTGGGATTACAGGAGTGAGCCACTGCACCCAGCTGATGACGTTTATAGTTAACTAGAGGGTTTTTCTTTTTTCTTTTTTTCAGCTGTAATCCAAGGTAGTAAGCAAACTGATAATTAGGGCATTATTGTGAAGACAATATTTGGTTAAGGGAGAACTTGTACAGAATTTCTTAAATCAAAGTAGGTGATTACCCAATTTTTTATATAAAGCTATTATTTCTGTTTGTTTTTTAGTCTATGCTTCTCTTAATTTCATTTCTTTGCTGTTTCTTCCTGCTTCTGCTGCTTATAGTAATGAGCTCAGAGTGAATGTTTAACACATATGTGCTGCAATCACCTGAATTTGCCAAATTTTCTTATCAATTTTTGTTATCAATTGCTGTTCTTTACCTTTTCTAAGAGCAAGACCTCCTCAACTTGCCTGACTTTAGATAGACTTCTTCCTTCCTCTAGGCTTCTGACCTCTGTTTTCTTACAGCATTTACTTTAGAAAACTTTTCATTGTAAATTCTTTCTCTGCCCCTTTGAGATGTAAATATCTTGCCAAGTTTACAACCCAGGAATGTCTTTCTCAAGAATGTGGGTGCCAGCCCTTTGAAATATAATCATTGAAGGAGGTATCACCTCTATCTCCAAGTCTTATCGAGAGGGTAGAAGCCTAACTGTTAAATGTGACAATTAGCAAACAGATGGCCTAATCACATTGACCAATCTCCTCCCTGAAGTCCTCCAGTATTTTTCCCCAGTGCTTAAAAGTCCTTCCTGCCTTTTGTTCCAGGGAAGTTGAGTTCAGTCTTTCTTCCCTGTTGCAATAGTCTTGGATAAAAGTGTTCCCTGCCTGTTTAACTCTGTCCATTACAACTTTTCTTTCACATTTGCAATTTCTAAAGCAAAGAATCTCATTGGCACTTTCTTTTGTTGTTTTTTCTTTAAATATTTCTATATAATACTTAGATGAGAAGATTTACAAGTCTAGTCCTTTTTGCTCCCTGTCTAGAAAGCACAAGTTCCTAGAAGTTACTTTTCGAATCTTGATGTCAGTCTTCTCTGATAAGGGTTTCCTTTCCTTTCTTTGGTGTGCTGCTGATACAGCTGGAATACCCATATATTTTTCAACCATTTAACACATTCTCAATGATATTACCTTTGTCTTTTGTATGACAGTCTACATGTCAAAATCAATTGCTCCCTTTGAAACCAGCCAATTGTTTTATCCAGCAGAATCCTACTTATTGTGGATGTGTCATACTTAGTGCTGATATAAACATGTTGCTCAAACTAATGAATTGTTAAGGTCAGACATGTTTAGCTGTTTTTGCCAACATTTGATTTGGAACACCCAGGGAGGAAAGATACATATTTGTTTGGCTTGTTTATCTATTCTGACCATTAATCACAAGAACTCATAGAACTAATAAAGCTGCAAGACATCACTGTAATGTTTCTATGAAAAGATAAAGTTATAATTTGGGAACTGAATGCACGATTTTCCTAAGTCTCTGTCACTTGAAGAAAAATTTAGAGTTGTCTTATTTCTGTGCCTCCAAAAACCATATCGAGCTTTCTTTGAGTTGGGCAATTTTAATTCAATAAACATTTGTAACGTATTTGTCTCAGCCAGGCACTATATCAGGTTCAGAAAGCATTGGGATACGTAAACTCAAAGGATTTACAAAATCATTAAACGAGCATACTTTTATAGTTCTTACAGTGTGCTGTCTGATACAGTCTTTAGTGTTATAATGGTAAGTTCAAAGATTTCCCCTGAGATTTTATTGCCTTTTTAGGGTAAATATTTTTTTCTACTGTGTCTGAGAAGATATTGTCCCATGATGTACTCTTGCCTTTTTAATACAAGAATGTGCTGTTGGAGGATACCTGTGCTGCTTTGGATTTTGTTTAGATGGACAGGTACTCACTAGGCTCCTTGCTCTGTTGGATTTGTAACTGCACAAAGGCCACAATTCCAGGTGAAGACACAGTACCACACATGGGGTCTAAGAAATTGCAAGGCCTGGCTGAAACTCTCCCAAACACTCTAAGCACATTTCTAAAAGTGGAAAAAGCAAGGAACACGATTGAGATTCCCCACATCAATTTTAATTTTCTTTCCTCTTTGTTAGTTCTAATGCTATCTTGGTACCACCAGATTATTGGGGAATGATAAAGGAAAATATGAATCTTATTATCTGGGACTTAACTTTTTCTGTTCTGACCCTCATTCTTGCCAATCCCTTTCAATCTTTAGTAGGAACCTAATTTTGTCTACTGCCTTCTTAGGGAAAAAGGCTTACCACTCACTCCTGCTCATCCTCATTCCGTATGCAGGAAGAAGAGATAAAAAGACATGAAGAGAACCATGCTTTTTCCTTTACAACATTCAACTTGAGATGTGTGGTTTTCCCCCTAATGTCAAGTTCTTTTTCTTTATGAAAAAGAAAAATAGTCTACAAGGGAGATGCTACCAACCAATTACTTATACAGCAACTGTGCACTTACATAAACCAATAGCCTTTATTGAATAGATTCTTCACTGGAGTCAGTAACTTAGTTTGGGCTCCCTTATGTAGCAGGTCACCTCTAAGCTCCCTTTATCTTTTATTTTCCTTAGTATTTTTTAAAAAACCAGTTTGCAGAATAGATTCTCCTCATGTAGAACATGAAGTCTGAATGACAGTTTATAGTTTGGTCCAGTAATTGTGCCTAACTTCTCCTTTCCACGTAAACATATGATATCACTTCGCAGGGAAGAAAGTCAATAATTCATTTCACAAATTTTATCTAGTGCCTACAATATGCCAGCTGCTGTGACAGTGCAGGGAGATGAACACAGACTTTAAAGTTTAGTGGACTGTATTAATGTCAATACTAAATAGTGTTTATCAAGTGTCTGTGTATGTGCACATATGTGTGAATGTAAATATAGAGGTCTATAAACATTTTCTTCCATATAAAATATACAGTCTAATAACAAATTAGGATGAATTACTGACTAACTGAACTCTTGCCAAGTAAGAAGTAAAAAAGGCCAAAATGTACACTTCATGAAAGGGACTTAGGATCCAAGGAAAAGTACAAGTATCATAAAGATAAGTGGTTATTTCTAGCCTTTCCATGAATATTCAATGGAAACTATAGGGTGTTCCTTAAAAGATCCATACTTACTCATCTCTGCAAACAGCTGTCTTCTTTCTGCCATGGTATTTCCTCTTTTCCCACTATCTTCAATCATTCTACGAGACAAAATGGTTACAACACATATTATCCTCACGCTATTGAGGCAAGAAGCCATTTCTCTGTAAACATACTTGCTGTACTTGTGGCACAAACATACAGAAAACCTATTGAAAACCATTTGTTTTAAAAAGTACAGCTTTACTTTTACTAACCTAAATTGCTGCACATATTTTTCCATATATATTATTGTTGTAGTTGTTGGAGGGGGTATAAAATTTTTATTGTCTAACATAAAAGTAACTACTGTAGCAAATGACCTTGTGCTATAACTAAATACAACCATCTACCATCTGTTAGGTGATTTGTTTCACATTCAGTTTCTCTTTCAATTTTAAGAATACCTAAGACTGGAGAACAGATATTGTGGATCCCATTCAACAGATGATGAAACCAAGAGTCTCATGAACTTGGTGAATGAAGGAGGCAGACGTTTGGACTCTAAGACCATTATGGCTTCCATCTCATCCTGTTGCCAGTTGTCCCTTATGCACTCAAAACCTCAATTTATAAACAGGTAGTTTTCTAAATGTTCATTTCTAAGTTCCTGTACATAACAACTTCATGCAAGGTGGTTAAATTCAAATATCTTTCCTTAACCATACTATTGTCTGCAGTGGAACTATATAAAATATACTATTAAAATGCCAACAGTTAAAACACAGAATTAAAATATGATAGAAAAAATTAAAATTAAATAATGAGAAAGTTAATGGATGTGTTTAGTCATGTAGAGGGCTTTGGGCTAAATATCAAGAGTTTTAGAGGTTGATGGATTTGACTTTTTATTACATCTAATTAAACTTTTAAAAACCAAAGTTTCCTCTCATGTGCACATATATAGATGCACATGTATGTCTACCACACTGACTTCTGCCTTGATTCTCAGGCATAGTTAACAAAAGGTGTAGTTGCATGGGTTTTTTTGCCTGTGCCTCTATGGCCTCTGCTCTTTCTCAAATCTAGGACTTTGTCTATGCTCTTTTCTGACAGGATCGTCCTCTCCCTATGCCAAGCTAACTTGCTGTCACCCTCAGCAAGGTGAGGTGTCAAATCTCAGTTTGTCTATCTTCCTCTGAAATCTTCCCCAACTTTCTACAACTGCCTGGGTTCGGTGCCTGTCCTCTGCATCTCCACAGCATGCATTGCCTTTCAATTCTGAGCACTCACTCAACAAACAGCACGTTCACCACAAAAAATAAGTTGGTGAGGTGATGGATATGTTAATTAGCTCGACTGACTTTTCCTACAATGTATACAGGGATCGACACATTACATTGTACCCCATAAATATACACAATAATTATCTACCAATTAAAAATAAATGAATGAAAATAAAACAAGCCTTTACTGAGTGCCTTTCATACTCCAGGAACCCTGCTACACTTTGAGTGCCCCACAGCAATCAAGCCAGGATCACACTGTCCTGTGAGCACATCACAGTGATCAAGTCAGGACCCGCTGTCCTCTGAGTGCAGTACAGTGATCAAGTCACAGTGCTTGTCCTCAAAGTGCTTATACTGTAGTGGTAGAGATACAGAAGCATAAAAGCAATTAAGACACAATGAAGTAATTACAGCCATAGAAGTGGAAAGAAAGATGTGAACATGAGAGGGGTTGATTTCCTGAGGATAAATTTAACAAAACTACAGCAGAAGACTGCTCAAAAGGTAATGAGCTGTGTACAGAATGACTCAACTGAGGGTAAAATTAAAAAAAAAATGGTGGTAAAAGTGATGTTTATCAAATTGATTCAGTAGCCTGACCAGATGCTTTTATGGGTGAAGCCCATTGCCAGGAAGGGAAGGAAGGCTGTGGAACAGCTTTGGTTTATGAAGTCAAGGGAAGAGAGTGCACAAATTCACAATGGGTTAGATAATATACCAGGGACTATCCTAAATAACTATTGAAAAGGAGTAGAGTTATTAATGAAGCTTCATCAATTTGGTAACAATTTGTTGCTGAATATGGTCAAAAACTTGCTTTTTATAAGATTTCATATATGCAGGTAAAGTTGGTATATAGATCTGGAAAAAAACACACCCTTCCTAATTCATATAACCTCATCTCCTTTATTTCAGAAGTGGGTAGATAATACTGACTTTCACAAAGTAGTATGAATATAGCTTCCAAAGTTTATTTCAAGGGCTCAGAAGTAGAGTTGAGGCAATAAGAAAGATAGAGGATAGAATGAGTGATGTGTTCCTGGATCTCTGTGTTAGAACGAGATGAAAAGAATGATTAAAAATAAATCACAAAGGATGGCAGTCCAGGGAGCTCTGATAGAAAATATCAGAAGTAAAGACTGGCATCTGAACTTGCAGGCCTTGCTGCTTGTACTACTTGTTTCGTGGTGTTGTGACAACTCTATTCCTATTTAACATTTTGTCTCTTTCTCTGTCAGGTTTTGAGAGCACTAACCTCACATATCTTAATTCTTCACAGTGCCCAGCAAAATCCAACCAATAAATGATATGGCCAGCTTGCATTTATTGAATAAATAATGAAAGAGAAAAAAAAAAAAAAAAGAGAGAGAGAAAACAGCAAAACAAGCTAAGTTTGGTTTCCATGAAATGAACTTTCAGTTATATCTCCCAAATCTGACTTATAGAAGAGTGAAATTCAAATTGTACTAGTTTCAGAGATTAATTATTTGAAATGAGAGAAACTAATTTACATTGCTTATAATCTAGGACCATACATTTGAAAGCAAAATCAAGTCTTATGAAGAAGTTGAAAAAGATGCAAAGCACATTGATGTCAACTTTTGTTTTATTCCTAACTTTTTTTGATTAACTAACTCGTAAAAGAACCATCATTAGTTACACAATAGGTATTAATTCTCACTTCTAGGTCAAATGGGTACCTTGGAAGAGACAGGAAAAACCTCTGTGGTATGAAATAATAGAAGGCACAGAATATAATTATAAATATAAAAGAAAAATAACACACTTCTCATTTTACCCCCAGAGTTTTCTGGGAAGTAGTGCAGTCAGATAAAATTGAGAATACTCACCTATTACCCATTGATCACAGTCGTAATAGTAAAAACGGGAGGCCTGCTAGATTACACTTTACACTGATTCAGTAGGGGGACTCTGGGACAAAGTAAGCTCATGCGTTCAACAGGCAGGGAGCACCACTGTGGGCTCCTTGGTTTCCAATTTAACTCTGATCAATGGGATCTGAGACACACAATGCCTGACTACATTCTCACTGCCTTGGAAAGAGAGAAGAGCATGTCATTCTGTAGGGAAAGGACCAGGTGCTTTTACAGAGAGCAGTTTTGTTTCTGAAATGAGGGAAGTTGACAAGGAACTCTGCTTTTCATGAATTTCAGTACAACAACAGCTGCCCAAAGTCATATGGAGGAGGTGAAGGGGAAGATAACCCATTTGTGATGACACTAATGTGTGCCACAGGGCACATGGCTCACCGATGAGCCCAATTTGGTCAGTTTCTGTTGCTCCTTCATGCACGTAAGATGCTTGCAACCTTAGATTTTACAAGAAGACTATATAAATGTAAAAAGGGTGAAAAGAACTAACAGTGATAAATAAGTGATGAGCCCTGTCAGATGTTTCCTTTACTAAAGCTCAGTCCCACAAATTATACAGGACATATGTTGTTTTCACTTATAAGAACCCATCTATTCATTTACTTAAGAAATATTTATAAAGTAGCTATACTTTGTCAAATACACTGGTAGTTTCTTGAGACCCAAAGATTAATACAACATGATCCTTGTCTTCAAGAGGCTTGCAACTTTGAAAGGGGGAACAGATTTTTCTAACAAATCATTAAAATTTGGAGTAATATGTACCATAATGAAAATATGTACTGTTAGATGTAGTAGTTTATTTCTCGGATGATCTGAAAGAGGATCAAAGAAAGAGGGACTCTGAAACAGAATTTTAAAGGATAAATGGGAATTTTTTCAGATGAAAAAGAGTGGAGGAAGGGCAAATAAAATCGTGAAGAAAAGCCGGGAGCTTTCAAACAGGGATGGTGCATTTGGGAACAGGCAGTTGCTCAATATTGCTGGGTGCAAGTGTGAGTGGAGACACTTCAGAGATTAACAGGCATCAAATCTAGAAAGCCATCCTTGTCATGTTTAGACAATACAGGGCTTTCCAGTCGAGGCTAGATGCCATCCAAGGTTTAAGTAGGAAATTGATGTATAGAGATTCAGGTTTAAGAAACAACTCCAGCATGGTGAATGGAAGGAAGACTGGGTAGGTAGGAGGGTAGGGGTGGGAGCACATGACTAAGGGAAGAGTCCAGTGAGTTGGATACTTCTGTGCTTCAGGAGTGAGACTCATGTCTTGCATTAAAGCATTGATTTGAGAGAGATTTAGAAGACACATTTGATAGGACTTGGTGACTGCCAGACCACATAGAGAATGGCAGACGAGAGGACCTCAGCTTTTTCTGTCCCATATTAGGAAATAATCTTTTGCCCCCATGGCATTAATGAATTTGTAGGAGGTGAAGTCACCAAGTCACCCTTCTTCAGAATGGTCATTAAAAGAGGGCTGCACCGCTGGACAGGGATGGTTCCAACTCTTTGCCCCCATGTATGGGGAAGGATGAAATAACAGTAAACCAATTCGGGAACCAGTAAGAAATAAAGAATAAATCCAAAGGTAGGGCACAGGGTGTTAGAATAAATGTGAACTATATTTTGGCATAGTGAAATGAATTCACATTGAAATATCACATCCTCAAGTTACTTCCTTCGTGGCACACCTTTCATCCAACACCATACATAATAAATGCATATTACTATTACACATGACATATCAGAAATTTTAAAGGCAGAAGCTGAAACTAATGGTGCCTTATATTTGCATAACTTATTAAAGATCATAAAATGCTTTTCCCTGTAACTTTGTGAGGAAATCAAAAAGATATTACATTCTCAAGTTATAGCTAAGGAACTTACGACTCAAGAAGGTAAAGTGGCTGCCTAAAAACCATAAGGGTATTTTCTGGCATG